AATATTGTTGAGGCTTTATGTAAACCATTTATAGTTTGCATCAAGTATTTAATAACTTTAAATTACATTCTTTTAATATTTTTGGAATATGAACATCGATAATTAACAATTCTACCATGATCCATAACTAATGAATAAAACAATAGTTTCATTCGTAGTAGCAAAACCATAAATATTGGAATTTTGAAGAAGTAAAAAAAAATATTGTAATATTGTGCACAAAAGATTATTACGTGAATTCGCGTTATGATGTCAGGCATGATTTTAATAACAAACCATCATTCGCTCAACTAATAATAATAAAAAAGTATAATCGATGTTTCATTATTGACAAAATAAAATTGGATTATAAAATAAATAAGCTGATGTTTCGTATTGCGGGAGAAATAAAAATACTCAACAGTCGAACGATGATGACGACTACCCATCGTCTTTTCCGGAACGTGTAACCTGTGTCTATAACCATTCAAGCAATCCGAAGTCTGTGTAAGTTAGTAAATCCGTTTTGAACGATAAGGAGGACAAACACTAAGTCATGTTTCACAGAAACTGTAAGTCAACAGCCAATTGATTTACATTTAATCAACTACCAAAAGCTGTTGAAAACAGTGAGTCAATACACACTTGATTTTCTCAATCATCAGGTATAATACGTACATCATTAATTGCTAGGGAGTATCTGTAACTGAAAGTATTTATACAGTTTTTTGATTTTACGTATCGCCAGACAGTATCAAAATATAAGTACCACCCTCGAGTCATGGTAATAATTAGGACTGTAACCTAAGTTTATTACTATCAGCATTGTAAAAGATACTTTTAAAAATATTTCAAGTATAGATACAGAAACTTGTTTCAAAAAGTATTTAATATTAGGACTTAACCTTACCCAACTAGGAAAACAAAAATATTAGAGGAAAAATGTAGATAATTGTTATTTATAAATACCTAATTAAAATTATTTGAAATTTTTTCCACAAAATCTATTTTAAAAAATTAGAATTTTTTGACATTTAAAATTTGATAAAAATATTATAGCACATCAATTTACGTTAGTTAATATAATATTTAATTTATTTTCTAAGTATGAATGAAAACTGTATAATTTAAAATTTGCTAGCTTCAATTGGCTGTTTGGTATTTTGATTTTTATAATGCATTTTGTGATAAGTGTACATAATTTATAAGATTATACATGAATAGTAAATAAATTTACCAAGATTAAATGTGTACTTAAAATAATGTATTACTTTAATGCACATGATATTAGGTGTAGTACCTACAATATAAAGTAAGCGTAAAAGTTATTAATTTGATTTTATATGATATAACAATTTAGATATTTAATTGAAATCGGGAATCCCCTCAGTTACTTGCAGGGTTTAAAAATTAATACATAGTTATATTGATTATTTTCTCTTTAATTTAAATTATGTTTACAAATATTAATTATTGTATCAAAATTTCATTTAAGGTGCACCGATATTGTTTTCTTTATAATCGATAAAGTAATATTTTTAATTAACCAAGTATGCACATGAGTATTTATTTGCTGTTTGAAGCACTGGGATAGAAAGTCTTTAGACAGAATAATTATATTTAGTTTAGATTATGGTTTGAAATTAATATACCAGAAGTCAACACGTAATAAATTGGTGGCGATTTTATAAATAAATATATTCAAATAATTGAAAATCTACATTTAAATGTGACGTCTTTGAAACCTAAAAAATAATGTAAAATTTATTCACGAATAGAAAAATAATAAAAAAAAAAACTGATCAAATCGTAACAGATAGGAACATGTGAAAATTGAATTATATCACGATCATAGATAGTTTTTTTTATCATCATCGAATAAGCAATAAAATTAAGCAACTTGAAGTTTTTAAAAATAATACACCGTGGTTACTTTTATTGTGTGTATATATTGAATAAACAGAACGAGAAATTAAACATTCCCATTTAATTATGAATGCCCCGTAATTTTTATCTTTAATCATTATTTGAGATTTTGATAAGATAAATATTCTAAATGATTTATAAATATCAATTTCGGATCCTACATTTCAATAAGAATATTAATATTTAGATTTATACCTTGAGAAAAACTAAATGTGGATTTAGTTAAATTAAAAAATAACTGTATTACGGAACTAAGATCAATACTTTTTTTTATAAGAAATATTGTAAGTGACCAAAAAAAAATTTTAAAAGATAACTGAGTGAATCAAAAAAAAAAAAAAAAAAAAGCAATCAACTGTATAATAATAAACTAAATGCGTAGACTGAAAATCAGTGATAAAGAGTAATACGGGTTAACGGTATAATAAGAGCTATAGTTAAATTTTACAAAAATATATGAATATTGTTTATATTTAACAAACATCATATTTGGAATTAAAATATATACCAGGAAAACTTAATCTAATGTATATTATACATAAACGTTCTGTATACTCGTTGAAAATATTTGTTTTAGATTTTTAACAAGTCGAATACTGAATTAGTCTACAATAAGGTTATATAATATTTTTCATCTGTGATCAGTATATATATATATTATAAGAACCCAGCAGCAGTCAATACTCGAAAAAGATTTTAGTTGGAAATGTTTCCATTTTTTTCCCCTTCGATTGTCCATCGCAAACAATAACGAAAAATCATTTCGGCCGTTTATTAGGCGGACAAATATTACAAAATCAATGTGTGTTTTACACAATATATCATATCATAGCGACGAGAATGAGCACATTAAGTACAATAATGATTTGTCGACGGTCCTGTTATTTGGGTATCAGCGCGTGTGTAAAATGGGACTTCCGCTGCATGCGCGCGCACACAAGTTTTGCGCACGCCAAAAAGCGAGTCCGAACATAACTATTATACAACTATCTAACATATAATATAAGAATGCAAGTCAGCTGCAAGTCTGTCGCTAAAGTTAATTACGTGTTAATTTAGGGTAGGGACGAGCGACCAATATACTACAACAGTCCACAACTTTTACATTATACTTCTAAAATACTTTTATTTTCATCATTATTATTACTATAATAAATATTATTTATTACCATTTATAGCTGTATCGCGGTGATAATAAATAATGATTTTAACAGTAATAACTCGAAACCTCATGGTTCTATAGCCGTAATACACTTTCAAAGTGTTAACCGTAATATTCCTTGACTACACATACAATATAACGTAATTGTGCGTGTACACAATACACAAGACACGTTAATTGTCGACTGAATTAAACACATCACCAAAAAATAAACATAAATATATATATTGTGCCTATATTTTGAATTCTCTAAAAACTACCGACAGAAAAACTGGTTAAATAAATTAATTTTTTATAAATTATAATATATTTTGATTTTTAGATTTTTCGAACATCGATTATAAGTTTAACGAAAAGAAAAAATTGACAATAAAAAAAATTTGGAACTTAAAAACAAATTAAACATTTTGTGCTTATACATGCATTGAAGATTTGTAATTCAAGCTGCAAGTATATACGTATTTTAAAACGAATCACAGAAACAAAATATAATTACAAATCTTATATTATGATTTATAAGAATTGAGTTATTCAAATTATTAGCTAATTAGTTACGAGATATTACGTTTTAAATTAATAGTCGTAATACTAAACATGGGCAGGTACACATAATTACAATTGTATAATGTAACGGCAAAACGTTTCACGAATAACAAAAACCATAAAATAACGTTAATGTTTATATTACAATACATCAACATAATAATTAAAATATTTATCTTTAAAATCGACAAGTTACTATGAACTATAAAATTGAAACTACGGGTGCCGTGGAAGAAAAATAATTTACGATCAAATTTAGCAGTAAAAATAAAAGAACCAAAATTTATTTTAGAAAATGTTAAGTAGATAAATATTATTTTACAAGACTGTTAAATAATAATTATTGAAAAATTATATTTATTGTGCGAAAAGAAAACTTTGGTGAGAAAAGATGGTTCATAACGAAGCCTATAGATCTTTAAGTGTGATAATTATAGTATAGAGAAAATATTATACTAAGATTTTATTTTATGGATATTTATCTAGGACCATTTTACGAGTACGATATAGTTTAGAGCTAGAACTAAGTCTATTGTTACATAAATCCGACTCGTATGTTTATGTAAGCATAAATTAATACGGTTTTTCGAAAATCCACGTTTTGAAAATAATTTTCTAAAATAGGATGTATAATATTAACTGTAAATTTACGATAAAAACTACTTTTTCACCACTATACAGTGATTTTCTCGGTAAATATATGTATTTTGAAAATATGCTTTTTATAAACATAATTTGAAAAAAAAATTTATCAATGTGTAGAATACAATAATTAATTGGTATATTTGCATAATATATGGATGTCTGGTTATAAGACTAGTATGATATACATTCAATGATTATGAGTTTATAAATTGGTGAAAATGAATGAAATACGAAAATATAGTTAAAACAAATTACATAGAAATGCATTTATTGCATAGCAGTATTTATTTAATTGGTTAGCAGTGTACAATAGGTAGGTGCCTATGTTTATTTTTTATTCTATTGTAGTATTTATAAGAATAAATGGTACAAATCGCGAGGAACATAATAAACATACATTACGACAAGTACAAATTCGTTATCATATTAAATTATACTTTTTCGAAGACAAAATACTTATGTATAAAGAGCGTATTACATTTTAGCCGGAAATCTAGCAGCACATTTTAGGGTACCGAAACACCGAATACTTATAGGTACTTATATAATAATATGTCCTATTGCCGTTCTATAGCTTCGATTTAAAAGGCTTGTATTATGACATGTATACATGCAGATATAACATACAATTTATACTAAAAATAAGATATAGTAAGTCGTAGATCTTTTGGGATAGACGTTCGGGAGTTAAGCATGAATTTTGTATTAGTTGACCCGTTGGAATCAAATAAAATACGTGTATTACCTGTTTCTTGAGTATGATGTGCTTTCCCTTCCAATATTTCATCATGCCGAGGGCTTGGAGCGTGCTCACTATATCATAGGAGTTGATAGCCAGTTCTTGACTCATGTCTGGAATTCAAAATTTTAAATTACGTTAACCGATTGTTTACAATATATTTCCCACGTGATTCTGTCAATTTATATATGCCCAAGCATACAGTTTTCATATTATTATATACTGTAGACCTACAATGATTCCAGTTTTAGACCTATGATATACATAAATATATTATATTATACACAATTCGCATTGTAACATAGACACGACCACGCGCGGAATAGTATTGCGCGCGATGGTGTTATGATGCACCACATCTGAAATTGCCCGCAATTTGGAATATAGCGTATATAATAATATGAGTCCTATATCAATAAATTATATGTACGCTCGGCACTAACACGCTTGAAAAAATCACAAACATTTACAATAATACGATATAAATATTTAAATACAATTTCAACTTTAAATAGAGTCTTGTATGTATCATAAGTTAGTGTATAATAGCTTTGCACGATAGAACGACCCTCAAATGTATTTAATTTAAATTAAATGTCATTCGATGGGCCGAGTATGTCTGCAATCTAAAGTTTAAGAAGTATAATATATTAAGTCATCACGTTCAAGGCATTACATAATTAATTGATAATGAGGAAAATATACATTATATACGTACACGAGATATATAGTAAACAATATTATATAATGTACGGTGTATATACTTTAGGGAAAATATACTGAATTTGGATTTCCTGGGATTGAAGTTACATTATACGCACAAAGAAAGGAATGACTGGGCTTTGTTTGAAGTCCCTAACATGTTTCTGAAACAATATATTTTATTTATAATTAGACTGGTTCAAAACACAACTTGGTGTGGATAATATAGAAACTGATCAACAATACTGGTAAGTTGCTTAACGTTATCACTCATGAGTTATTTGTTCAGCGGTCTGAATAACAAAGGATTTCATAAGCCTATAAACGATAGAGTTGAACATATATTATACACGTTTTGATAACTCTAAAAGTAAATATGGAACCCGGGTAGCAACAAGAATGTAAGAACGACTGTCAGTAGTTGTCGAATGTGCAAACTTACTATTTGAAAACAGCAAGATCCATAACAATTTATGAGCATTATACTATGTAACTGAGAACTATCGAGAACAGAAAAACAAATAGATGATCGCTAAAGCACTAAAGAGAAGTTGAATATGACTTATATAACAAGTAAATAGTTTAGATAAACTATAATAAATTAGACATTAAAACTATGTATCTCCAGTGTATAAGTGTCAGTGGTGAATAAAGGAAACTGAGTATAATGAAATAAACTATTTTAAATACTGAGTAATATTTAAACTTAGTAATTGATGTAAAATAAAATCAACTATAATCAAGGAATCATGTTATTGTTATCTTATCTAGTCTATTTAATAATAAAAAATAAAAATATATAAATATTTTAATTACATAACGAATATAATTTGTTTTGAAATCCAGAAATTTTATATTGCATTCAGTATATCTACAAAGAAAATTAGTACATTTAAATATGAATCTTTATAGAAATAAGTAAGAAAATTCAAAAAAGATTCAAAATAATTATTTTATGAAACTTAGTTTTTTTAAGTTTTCAAGATTTTTATTCATATTTTTTCTAAAAATAAAAAAATATTGAATAATGAATTCAATCAAATCACGGTTAAAAATTAAATACAGCATATAATGATTTAGCAGCGTATAGTATTGAATAATTTCATTGATTTTTTTTAATTTTATTAAATACTTAATTTTAACTTTTACCTATGTAATCTTAATAAGCAAAATAAGCAATTAGCACAATAAATGTTGATTATATCATTAACATTCTTAGAAATTTAGTTGTACCTCAAAAAAGATCCGTAAATTTTGGTGTCTGGGGGCTGGAGTAATACAATCCAGAATACAAAATTTTATAAATAAATAAAATAATCAATAAAAAAAATCAAATTTGTTTAACTACAGTCCCTTGAAAGTGATGAAGAAAGGCATTTATAATTTTGTGATTGGACACTATGTAGAATAGATCGCGATTCAACATTTGATTAAATATTTATACATTTTTTTTCAAATTTATTTTTACCGACGAATGTATTTTTTTTTTTTTAATAACTTGCGTTTTAATTGAAATTTAATAAGCATCCGATTTAAATGTTTCTAACAGCTATAATTTTTATTAAATCAAAAACTTAATTTACTTTAACTTAATCTATTTTCATTCAATCGTAATTTTTTTTTTTTTTTTATTTATTTTAAAATATGATCAAAATTATTATCTTAAAAAGAAACCTATGTTATTCAACTAGAATTTGCTTACTACCCCTGTAAAAATAAAGACGCATTAATTTGCAACGGTAATACGGGACTTAAAGGATATCTTTATACCTACACATGATCAAACGAATCATCATAACAATACGCGACATCTGCGTGCATTCGAGGGTAGTGGTATATCCGACAAACCAAATAAGTAGGTAATTTAAGCTATACGACATATACTATATACCTACATACGCACTATGTTGCATTGCAAAGAGGAAACAATAGCGTGTGTATATTAAGCTAGAAGTCCTGGTCGGTTGCGAACGTTGATAAATGAACGAAAACCGTCTGTGTACGTAGGTAATCTTAAGGATTTCAATTGCACGGCCGTTATCATTAAAGCTATAGTGGCGAGGTTGTTTTATATTTTTTGTATTTGTTAGCCCCGGAGTAATTAAAAAAAATATAGTAATAATAATAATAGTAATAATGTACACATATATCATGATTAATAATACATCATTTTTAAACTTAAACATGTTTTTATTACGAGTCTAAAGGAATTACAATTTGTAACGATGGAAATATTTTATTGTAAAAGTGCTCATTTAATTAGTACACTATAACGAAATACTTTCATTATGTATTGTATATTATATGATTTATGAAAATATTTAAATCTGTTGAAATTATTATTAAATACATTTTTGTATTTTTAAAAAACTTGCTTTTTCTTTAGAATTCTAATGAAACATATTAATTACGAAATTAAAATAAGAAAATACTGTTATACAAATTGAATGAAAATAAATAAATAAGTACTTATGTAAAGAAAATATGGGCTTAATTAAACGAATAAACAATATCATATACAACTTGGAATTTTAAAATTGAAGTATAAAATAAACTTTTATCTGTATTATAATATAAATTCTCTACAAAAATATTTAAAATAATAATTTGTTTAATAAGCTTTTATAATAATATTAGGAAACTTAAATATGTGTATGTTAATAGTTAATGGTAAAAAAAAAAACTTTATCTATTGATGTTAATAAATTACTTCTAAAAATTCTAGTTTTATCGTAAATAATTTATTTTTAAATGAATTCAAATTAAACATATCCATTACAGTGTACTATAGATACACTCAACAAAAATGCTATATAATTCATTGAATTCTCTAGTTTTATGTTTTTTTTTTTTTTTTTAATACATGTATATAATACATATAATTGTATTATTTTTGCGAAATTCACGTCGTATTTTCAATATATAACCATGGAGGTCATGAAATACGCGGTTAAAGAAAAATCCCTCCTGGAAATAATCCAAAAAGTTGATCACATCAATAACGTTAACACGCGTCTCGGAGTACATGTTTTTTTCGGAGATGTTTTGTAAAGTTTTATACTTAAAGTTGAAAATGTAAAGCTCGTTTAAACTGGAGAGAGATGTTTTGTATGAACGTGAGACAAACTGCAATAGTAGAACAGACATTTTTGAATCGTCACTACGGTCAATACACACAACTAAGGAGTATAAGGACTAATAGTTGGTTAAATTTTCAAGTAAATCCATGTTTTCATAATAATTTAATAAAAATATCACATTATTATTCGTATCGATAAATATTGGGATAGAAAAATTTTAATTTTCAAAAGAAGATAAATTTATTATATTTACTGTAGGTCTTCCATAATTTGTATATTTACGATATCTGGTGGGTTTTCGCATTTATTGAGACGTTGCCAAACGCGATAAATATTCTAAGCTAATTTGGTTAATATTATGAATTTTTTTTTCTATATGTGAACAACAAAAATAAATAAACCATATTTGTTTTAATAGCAGTGGTTTTTTGTTTTTAGCCAAACTGTAAATCAAAGTTTTAGAAAAAAAATAAGACATACGTATAATTTACAAATCCTTTTACGTAATTCATTTATACTTTAATAGAATTCGTACAATTTTAAGACATTATGTTTAAAGAATAAAACTTGAGTTGACAGTAAGTTAATTGCTTTATACTTGTTAAATAATTAGGAAACTTTGATAGTTTAAAACGTAATACCGACAATACTGTATGTTTTATTCATTGAATAATAATTGTGTTTCACAGGAGACTTATTAGAAGTTACGTATACAATATACATGCACAACGCATAATATGAGTTTTCTCTAAATTAACGAGCTTAAATAAAACTTGTCACAAACAATCTTTACCGAGTATTGTGTTTAAATAAATACTACACTAGTAGTAAGAATTGTTAATTTTAAAATAATGATTCTTTATAGGACACAACGGTAACGGTGTGGGTGCATAATTAAATTGGTATTGTAGTACAGAGACGTATGCGCTATACGCATTTTTGAATAATATTCCGTTATCAGAGGTATAGAAAAATTGCGCGCCGCTTACTGGTTAAATGACGTATTTTGTTCTTTCATATATATATATATAACGGCATTCCAATTATTAATGCAAAATATAATGTAGAATACAGAAGAGTAATTAATCAAAAGTAAGAGTAATTCAGCTTAACATTTTCGTTTAAGTAATTTCTATCTGGTCCTCACATCTACGTTTCGAGTGACTTGTTTTAAAGCACAATAATTCATACCTACATTGCGTATAATACTAAGCACTTTGGAATTAGAAACATTTAGTATTTAAGTTAATTTAAGCGTTTTAAACAAATCATTTTTCTGATTCGAAAGATATTTAATATTCGTGTATTATGTCTGTACGAACTCTGGTGAGTTCGATGGGGTGTACGATTTTCATCAAATCTCGAGGGTGAAAAATAATAATAATAAAATCCTCGGTCGATTCGCCAAGACAAGTTCAAATACATTAAGTATATACACAAAATAATAATAAATCGCAAGCCTGTGGCCCGGTTTTCTTCGGTCCGTCGACGCCGTCACGGGCACGTTCGTCCGTATCGCACCGCCGTATACAGTTGTACATTGTCGCAGGTTATGTTCAACGCGCGTACACAATAAAATATAATAAACGAAGGGGTCAGTGATCTCTCTCTTAATATATGTCTACAAGGCGGGTTGTGTATGGCACGGATTGGGAGGGGAGGGTTTATTCGCCACCGTAATAATCGCGTTTTACGACGCAGTATAAAACTTATTATACACCACGTGCGCAGGTTTTTACGAGCCGTGGTGCACAGTGCGTACACGCGGTTCTTCGCATAATACATACAACCAGCAGAGTAAGTATTGTGTGCGCGCGTACAGGGTAGGCGGTAGGTATGTATGTATTCTCCGATGAGTTTTACACCCCGGTGATAATAATATCGTTGTCGACGGATGGCGATGCATCGGGGGAGGTCTGAAGCAAAAAGGGTTATAAAACGCGCACGTACGTACATATTAAACGTGTGTATGTGTGTGTAAATGTGTACATGACGAGGGCATTGCGTCGTTTTGCATGCGCGCACGTGCCGGCATACACACTAACACACAAAAATACACGTAAACGGGATCATCGATAAAATCCGTCAGGAGAGAGATGACAGTATAAATATATATTAAAACATACCATATAGGTGGATAGATGCAGGGACAATGACGACAAAAATGTATTAAAACAGTTTAGCGTAATACCTAACTAATTATACATGACGCGGACCTTGTGATCGACGTAAACGACAATATAATAATAATAAATAATAATAATAATAATAATAATAATATTTACCTTTTATGGACAGTTGTTTTCCACCTAAATCGCATAGGTACTGCAATAACACGTCTTTCCAGTAGCTCCTGTACGATATTAGACCCAAATCTGACAACGGTTTTTCGGGCGAACCGACTTTTCCTTCTACTCTGGTTAGCAGGTAACCTGTGTAAACACACAAAAAAAAGATCGGACGTTTAATGACACACCGTTACAAATCTAATGAATATTATCAATAATATTTTTTATGAATTTTTTTATGCAATGACGAATGACGGTTATTTATCATATACTAGCAAATGCAATAGTAAAACGACATCCAATTCCATATTTATTTATTTATTTTTATGATAGTATAAAATAACAAACTTATTTATACAAAATATATATTATTGTGGCCTGTGGGGGAAGTAATCCTATGTTCTTTCAAATCAATAACTTTATTTAAAAATATGAACTCAAAAAACAAAACATAAAAAAATTTTCATGTATTCATGAAAATGTATGAGCCAATAATTTATATAGGGCTTATTTTAAATCAATTTTGATTTTCTAAATCGAAATTTAAAAAGGTAGGCATTGGGTTAATTATCTTACCTTAATGAAAACAAATCCATGATAATAGGATTGAAAGATACGGAAACTTATGATGATTATTAAATTATAGTCACTACTCATTTAAATTATTTAATAGGTTAGGTTAAGCGAGGTAAACATTATATATTTTTACATTTTTGTTTTCTATGGAAGAGAATTATTGCACATTATACATATAATTTAACTATGTTTATTACAATTTAAAAATAACATTATAAATGTACCACACCGACGACAGCAATAATTATATACCACGGTCCACGATATGCGTAATCAAGTTTATATAATATTAATATGTGAATATTTTACTTGGATTTTTATAGTTTATAATCGCAAATTTTCATAACTATTATTTGAATCATGCCAACATATTATTATAATATTATAGAGACTATATTATTATCAGAGATGGAAATTTACCACAAAATACTATATTTAATGTACATACGTATACGTAACACGGTATTTAGGAAGATAACTTAATTTATGAGGGTCAATGGTGACTTAATTACATTCAACCCACGTTGGTGCAAACATATTGCATTTCTCCGATCAATATTGTACCACTCCTAGACGGTTTCCATTAAGCATTAATTTAATACTAATAATCATATAAAATGAATAAACCGTTTCAACAGCTATACAAAATATACCTACATATACTTAAGTGGCTATTTCTAAAGAATTTGAACAATTTCTAACAAAGATTTTATTGATATTAATTACATAAAATACTACGCGAGTACATAACATGATGGGAAAACTTTGATGCTAATAAAAAAAATTAATTAAATTTTGTTTGAGTAGTAACCATCAATTTCAAAAATAATCATAAATTGATGCACTATATTTATATAACTAACTATTGAATTAATGTCCTACTTGCCTATTAACATGGTATTGTATCAATACAATATGTTGTATTGTCTCGTTAATTGTTTAGCAATAATATTACGATTGTTCCTGATACCACAGCAAATAAATTTAATATTTTCTAACTCATTAATACACAATTATGTACTAAAATATGCAATTGAACTGATTGTTAAACAAAAATACAATTATAATTTTGGGTAGGGCACAAAAAATTAATTTAAGTAGGTATACATGAAATGATTGAAACATTTAAAACTGAGGTTAGTTAGTAACTATAAAATGTGTGAACTTTTTACCTAATGGATAATCTAGATTTTTTTTTATTACTAATGTTATTCAATTAACGTCAGATTTAATTAGATAATACTATTAATAATTTTAAATTTAAATATATTACGTATAAAACAAGGCCAATAACTTAGGTATTTTACAATAATGAATGTGTAAAATATTATTATTCAAACGACATTTTGCACACACCAATGAGATTTCTATAGGACCTGAAATCTGCATGCATCGTAAAGCGCTATATCCACTAACCAGCAGATGAAGGGGTTAAAAAAAAAAATGCAGAAAACCGATCGATACCTTCATTAATCTCCCCCTGACGTTTATTAAAATGCACTTAGCGAAAAATGTGAAGTGAAACATTTTGCAGTGAATATAATAAAAATAAAATAAAATCTACGGAAAGGATAAAAAGTCTGGATGTTGAGCACTCATCTCGCCTCACTCATCTTGGCGTCAGTCAATGTTTGGATTATCATTTTTATTATTATTGTGAGTTTGAAAGCAATGACTTGAAATGCGATTCACAGCAGAGCTTGATATAGGTGCTGCTACTGCTTAAATATGGTTAAAAAAAATTTATACTCGCAGTATTATTAATGCTTATAAAAATAATTGCATGTGTATTATGAATATATATTAAAAAAATAACCTGATATCGAAATAGTAGAATTGAAACCACTGGTGCAATGTATGTAATACGTAGTACTTCTAATTTTAGTTTTGAGCTTTAAAAAAAGCACTGTTACAGTTCTATTTTTCTATATTTTAAATGATTTAAGAATAGTAAAGATAATACGAATATAAAATTTGTAAGACTTAAACATTTCAAATACCCTAAAGAAACTTGTCATTATTCAGAAAAAAAATGTAATTTACTAAAATTCTAACTTATAGGTAAGTTTAAAATGTTAATAATTTAAGCTATAAGCAAGAAAGATTTAATATAAAAACAAGATATAAAATTAGAAAATTTCAAAATTCTATATTATGTTTATTAATAAATAGATAATCCAGGAAACAGATTTATTCGTGTTAATGTTTTTGTTACCGGCTAGGAAGTTGTTTTTTGTATGTAGCTAATATACAGCTGTATATCAAATCCAAGTCAAATTTATTATCTATTTAAGCATTAATTATACTTAAGGAACATTTCTCTACGTTTACCTATCAATTATATTAATTATACAAGCATATTTAAATACATTTATATTATAGGTTAAACTTTCAAAATGTATAAAATAAGCACTAGGTTTTTTGATCATTTACCTATTAAATTATTATACATTTTTATATTTATCTAAAACAATGGCTATATTTATATAATATATACATTATAATAAGGAAACTGATGTAGGTACAAGATCAATCGTTTAACAACACTACGATTTAATAAATAGTATCTAATAAAAAACCCGGAGTGAACGTGCAGGTTTGATACGGCAGGCGTTGAAATCTAATACACCCGCGAATTTATCCGTAGCGACGTTTCTTTTAATTATTTTGGTATGCTATAACATAGAATTCGCAAGGCCCACCCCTATAATCTAGGATGTCGCTGCGGGATACTTCTCCTGGGCTATACAATGGTAAAAAAACGGTGGTATCTGTTGCGTGGGTGCGGGTGGGGGATCGATCACAGCGATATTAACGTCACTGGTAACAACTGCAGACGTACGTAACAGAAAACTATGAACGAGATGCAGGGATATAATATATATATATATATATTGTGTAGGCGCGCGCGTGTGTGCGTTTGTGTGTGTGTGTGACATATTATAATACGACGGATTTTGACCACGATAAGGAGTACGCGCTGCAGGAGTCCACGAGATGTTAAGCTTTGGGAAATGGTAGAATACTCATGTTCGTAATTTTGAATATCCGATATCTTCACTTAGATGTATTGTCTCAAATACATTCTAATCTAAGAAACGCTATACAAGTATTAGCGATCGGAATAATTTATAAACGCCGTTTTTGTTTTACAACGTCAATATAATTTGCATATTTGTATAATAGTTAAATAGGTACTGAAGAATCAATATACCGACGATACACTGACGAAATACCTACGAAAATATAATATATAAATTATAATATATGCTAATCAATATAGTTATATAATGTTATTCTAGCAAAAATAATGGAAAAATGTCCAATATTTAATCTTATTTGTTTCATAAAATTATACCTATATTTAACATGAAAATGTATTGTTTTTGTAATATACGTATCTATGTGTAGCAACATGCATTTACAAGAAAGCAATGCAGTAATGAAAAATCACGAACGTCGATGATATATAAAAAAAGGCCCATAGAATATAATAGAATAGACATTAGTACGCTATCGAGTAATTAATTTTCGTTTTATACACAGACATGTTGTGCATATACTTACACAACAATATGACAATATCGTATTACAGGTAAAAATATACATTATGCGTAGCATATACAGCACGTCCTACACATGTGTGTATATTGTATACAGTATAGTATTATACATTAGTCGTTTCTAAACGAGACCGGGCACCTGTCACTGGATGACATTTAGGGGAGTCAAATGCGATTTTCCCGCACTACCGTCGAACAATAAAAATATACAAACAATGATAATAGTAATAGCAATGAAAACGAAAAAAAAAATCCCATCACAAAATAGTATCCACGAGGAATTTTCCAATAGTGCATCAAACACACGATGCACATATACGTTGTATATATTACGCATATTATTATACATACTATACAGCCCGCGTGTTTTACTCACAGAAAAAGAGTACGACGGGTTTATAATGAAATTTTTTTCAAGCTACCCTCATCGCAAAAACCTAAACCTAGCCTATGATGCGAGTGATGAGCGGTAAAAGTTATATACGTATATTTTAGATAATATACACAGTCATATATATCATATTATGTAGGTTCGCAAGTATTAACCGCAAGCGGGTTTTTGTACATATAGATCAAACGCACGTGTGTCATTAAGAACGTTAGAGTTAAGCCTTTAAAAGTAGTTTTTACCGCTCGTCGTTTACGGAATAGTATATATATATAATGTATAGTATTATGAACATAAAAATTCGCACGCGTAAAGTTTGCTACAGAAAACCACAAAATGTGTGATTTCATCTGCGAAACATATTAAAGGGTATAAATATAATACAGACATAATCGAGATTTATGTTTAAGGTTCTCTTTAATATTTCAAACATTTGTATTAAACTGATTGTGTTAAAAGTTGGTTAGAATTTTTAATTAAGTAGGTAGTTACTTATATAAACATTTTCAAGCAAAATTAACCATCAAATAATTAAAAGTAAAAATGGTGGGTTATTATTTGAAAAACCGAAAATTGTATCACCACAAGACATTTTTTTAAGTAGTTAAAAAAACTTC